TACAAAAGTTAAATATTGAATGGTAGTAAATTATGGTGTTAATAATATTTTAGTAAGTAATAATGAACTTACAAAAAAGTGAAAAAGTATTGGTTATTTGATTTCAATTATTGCACTGGTAGTTATACTAGAAGGTTATATGGCAGTAAAAGGTAATTAAGAGGATACTCTAAGTAGTGAATGTGGTATAAACAGGGTAAAGGTAAATTAGACAATGTAATGGTTATTAAATTGTCAAAAATGTTAAGAGTAAATTGAATTATAGTAAAAATGATAATTATTTATTTTAGTAGGTAATATCAATGATAGTATTCAAAAAAATATGAGGTGTAATATGGACAGAGAAAGTATCATTTCAGCTAATGTTAAGCAAAAACAATAGTAATATTAGAAAATTAATAGGTGGACTTATGCCTTACTAGTAAAATATCACAAAATGAGGGTATTGATTATTTTAATTACTAAGAGATTGTACAATGAAGTTGAATGCACAATAATGGAGCAAAAAATACACTACGCTACATTAGGCTTTTAAGTTTGGACATTTGTTTAGTTTATTCTCTGTAAGATTAGTATCCCTGAGAAATCGTGTGATAGATATCTCGTTCGTGTTTGTGTACAGATGACCTTCATTTGTTTTCCTAACTAGAATTTTCCCATCCCGTGTGAAGCATTGGTGTATTGTGTCATTATTCTCCCGCTTAAGTTTTCTGACTCTATACAGGAGGTTCTGACGTTTTTTGGTAAGACAATCGTTTATGTATACCTCTTTCTTTACTTTAATAGATGCAATAATTAAGTCTTTTTTTCCTGCACTGTGTGTGGAATCTATGCTTAACACTTTTTCTACATGGGATCATTAGTAACCTGGCTTCTTTTATTTCAGACTCAGGTATAATAACGTGACAAGCAAATAAGCCATAGTGTTGATATAAGCATAATAATAAAGCATATTCCCATGCATCACGAGACTGAGCTCATGGCAACCGGCAGTGGCTTCAAAGCCACCTTATCTTTTATAGACAATGTACAGTGAAACCCCACCATTTAGCGGCCACGACTTTCGTGAAATCCGACTTTCGGAAACTTTTTTTGCCAAAATATAGCCTCGTGGTTCACGATTGTCCTAGTGATTTGGTGACCATCCGGTACGTGTCTGCCGTCAGCGCTCACACAAAGGCAGTCTCCACCACCATCACACTCAGTGTGCCATTGTTTACCAGCGAGTGACCATCACCCCACGGGTTCATATGATACATTTCATAATAATCCATTGTTGCTAAACTCACAAACTAGTATTTAGTCACTTAGTATTTAGTCAACTTACTCCACAATTTGGAATAATTTAGGGTTAAGAATTAATCTAAGTTTGCCCAAAATGCCTAGCCATGCTAGGTGTTCTAGTGGCCCCCTCTGTAATTAGTATTTTATTAGTATTTTATTGTTTTTTGTGCTTGCAACTGCTTAACCCTTTCAGGGTTTCCGACACACTAGTACGGCTTATGCACCAGGGTTTTGACGTACTAGTACACCTAAATTCTAGCGCCCTCAAATCTAGTGAGAGAAAACTGGTAGGCCTACATATGAAAGAATGGGTCTATGTGGTCAGTGTACGCAGTATAAAAAAAAATCCTGGAGCACACATTGCATAATAAGAAAAAAAAAACATTGACAGTGTTTTTGGTTTAAAACAGCAACTTTGCACTGTATTTTCGTATGGGATTTATGATAGTATTCTAGTTTTCCTGGTCTCATTTTATAGAATGGAAGACATATTACAGAAATTGAGACGATTTTGATTGGTTTTACAATGAAAAGTACCTTGAAATTAAGCTCAAAGTAGCAGAAATCTTTGATTTTTGCCAAAGTTCAAAAGTAAACAAATCATGCTACACGTCCAATACACGTCAACTGGTGAGTCTAATATTCTTTCACAAGTGCGCTGATATTATTTATACCATTTCTACACTAATGCAGTAGTCTGCATAACAGTAAATCTTCTATTTTTTGTGAGAATAAAAATTCAAAGTGGAAAGCAAAAGAATGTAAGAGGGGCATGGGGACGTGACTAATGAACAGAGGAAATGTTATTTTAGTGCCAGGAATGTCTTTCTTGTTTATTCTGGACCCTATTTGGAAATTGGTATCTTTTGAAATTTGTGTCAAATTGGCAAAATTGCTAAATTCTGGCCACTGTATTGGATAGTTGAGATTGGTAAATGGGTGGTTTCTTGTACTCACTTGATAGAAAAAATGGAGTTCTAGTGAAATAGTTATGATTTTTGTCGACTAGTACACTGGAATTGGCCGAAAATAGGGCTCAAATTGGGCAAAATTGCCGATGCGTAAACATCGTCGAGACTGCTAATTTTGCGAGAGCATAATTCCGTAAGTTTTCCATCAAATTTCATACTTTTGGTGTCATTATGATTGGGAAAAGATTCTCTATCTTTTCATAAGAAAAAACAATTTTGTTTTTTTTTTGAAATTTGGGCGACCCTGAGAACAAGTCTGGGAGAGGGCCTGGGGACCCTGAGAGAGTTAATAAGTCACCATGGGCCTGAAGAAAGCTAGTGCCACCCCTTTGGTAAAGAAAGTGAGGAACACGATCGAATTCAAGAAAGAAATCATTGAAAAATATGAGAGTGGAGTGCATGTTACAGAGCTTGCCAGGATGTATTGCAAACCCTATTCAACCATCACTTTGACGTGGCGAAGGAAAAGGAAATAAAGTGTGCTGTTGTTGCAAAAGGGGTAGACATGCTGACAAAAAATAGATCGCAAACCCTCAAAGAAGTGGAGAGGTTATTGTTGGTGCGGATTACCCAAAAACAGTTAGCAGATAGTATTATGCAGTCGATAATATGTGAAAAGGCAAAGCAGTTGCATGACGACCTCGTAAAGAAAATGCCTGCAATGAGTGGTGATGTTTGCGATTTTAAGGCCAACAAAAGCTGGTTTGAGAGATTTAAGAAATGTAGTGGCATACACAGTGTGGTAAGGCATGGTGAGGCTGCCAGTTCAGACAAAAGGGTGACTAAGAAGTTTGTACAGGAGTTTAAAGGGTACGCAGACAATGAAAAATTCAAACCCCAAAAAGTGTTCAATTGTGACAAAACAGGCCTGTTTTGGAAGAAAATGCCAAAGAGGACCTACATCATGCAGGAGGAAACGGCACTCCCAGGACACAAGCCTATGCAAGACAGGCTAATTCAAATGTTTTGTAATAATGCTGGTGGGGATTGCAAAGTAAAGCCTTTACTGGTCTATCGCTCTGAAAATCCCAGTGTTCAAGAAAAACAGTGTTGCCAAGAGTAAATTGTGTGTGATGTAGAAGGCTAACATTAAAGCATGGGTCACAAGGGAAATTTTCCTTGATTGGTTTAATGAAGTGTTTGGCTCCAGTGTGAAGAAATACCTCCTGGACAATGAACTGGAACTTAAGTGCCTCATCCTCACCCTCCAGACTTGGAAGAGTAAATGGTGGAGGAATTTTGTTTCATCACAGTAAAGTTCTTGCCCCCTAATACAACTCCTCTCCTCCAGCCCATGGACCAGCAGGTTATTTCAAAATTCAAGAAACTGTACACCAAAGCACTGTTTCAAAAGTGCTTTGTGACCTCAGACACTGAATTGACCCGAAGAGAGTTCTGGAAAGATCACTTCAATATCCTCCATTGCATAAACCTTATAGGTAAGGCTTGGGAGGGAGTGACTTGCAGGACTTTGAACTCTAACTGGAGAAAATTGTGGCCAGAATGTGTACAAGAGAGAGACTTTGAAGGATTTGGGGCTGACCTTGAGGAGCCTATGCCAGGTGTGGAAAGTATTGTGTCACTGGGGAATTCCATGAGGTTGGATGTGAGTTTGGAGGATGTGGAAGAGTTGGTGGAGGACCACGATGAAGAGCTAACCACTACAGAGCTGCAAGAGCTTCATCTGCAGCAGCAACAGACCACAGCTCAGGAAATTGCTTCAGAGGAGGAGGAAGAGAGATGGAGGAAGGTGCCTTCTTCAAAGATTAAGGACATTTGTGCAAAGTGGACTGAAGTGCAAACATTTATGGATGAACTTCACCCTGACAAAGCGGCTGCAGGCTGTGTTGGCAACATGTACAATGAAAGTTGTGTCCCACTCCAGACAAATCTAAAAGAAACTCCAGAAACAGAGCTCTCTGGACAGATATTTTGTGCGACAGGAGTCCAGTGACCCAAGTTGTTCCCAGTGGCATTAAAAAACAAAGAAGGGAAATAACCCTAGATAAGGACTTGGTACCTGAAGTCTTTATGGAAGGCGGTTCCCCTTCCAAACAATAGTGCACCTTCATTCTCTCCCCTCCTCCTGTCTTCCATCCACCTAGAAGACTTCAGTAAAGGTAAGTGCAATGTTATTATTATTTTATATATGTATGTACTTGATTTCTCATTGTTTTCTGTATGTAAATCTTCATTTAATTTGAAAAAAAAAAAAATATTTTAATATTTTTGGGTGTCTGGAACGGATTAATTTTATTTCCATTATTTCTTATGGGGAAAAATGGTTTTGTCATTCAGCAATTTCGTCCTTCAGCAGACTCTGGAACTCGGGGGGGGGGGGGGGGCATTGTACTATGTATGTACTTTACATAATAAGAATCATTTCTTTTATTCGTTGGATCCATGGCTAGGGCTAAAAATAAGCAGGTTATAACAATAAATGGAGAAAAAGAAATTGGAATGACTTATGCAGCAAGTAGTGCCACCACACAGTATCAGCAGGTTAGTGTGGCAACCCTGGAAATTTTAAATTATGCTAGCTGAAATTCAAGTCGAATAACTGATGGAACCGGATAACTGATTGCTGGATTAGTGATGGCCACCCTGTACCATATACAGTACTGATCTCTGTAATATCAAATATTATTAAGGTACTGTACAAATAATGAAGCCAGTATAATATGATATATTTAAATTACAACATAACCATTTACGTATAGTAACTACAGATAATTTTGTACTCACTCAATGTGGTTTGTTCTGAGAGAGATTTCCAAGTCTCTTAAAACTTGAGTAGAAGTGGATTCTCCTACCATCTTTCTCTTCTGTAATATAAATATACTGCATTAATTGTACATTTCTTAAGAGTCTCAATATTAAAATAAAATACAGTAATATGTATTAAGAGAAGTAACCATCTACCATTCTTTGAAAGAAAAGTATATGATGCACTGATCTGTTATGGGATGAGGAACTAAAGAACTAAACAGTGCTTAATTAAGGTTCTATTTATAATCTGATTAAGTTTAATTAATTATAATCTGATTGAATTTCATTATCATTTCTTATAGTAATGTGAGGAAGTAACTGCAAAGAAATGCAAGGAAAATTCTCACTGCAAGATTACCCACACTTCTGACAAGCTTAAAAAGGCACTGTTAAAACTGGTTATGCTTAAATCATCTACATTATTAACCCTTTGACTGTTGCAGCCCCCAATCCTGTGGTTTCTCCTGGTGTCGCAAAATTTAAAAAAAAAAAAAAAAAAAATTCTTATGAAATGATAGAGAATCTTTTTCCGATTGTAATGACACAAAAAAAAAGAAATTTGATGGAAAACTGACGGAATTATGCTCTCGCGAAGTTAGCGACCTCGACGATATTTACAAATTGGCGATTTCGCCCACTTTGAGCCCTATTTTCGGCTAATTTCATTGTTCCAGTCAGCCAAACTCATAGCTATTTCTTTAGAACTCCATTTTTTTCTATCGATTGAGTACAAGAAACTGCCCATTTACCGATTTCAACTACTCAATAATGTGGTCAGAAATTTGCAATTTGGCCAATTTCACGAAAATTAAAAAATATTACAGTTTCAAAATAAGGTCCAGAATGAACAATGCAGGCATTCCTGGCTGTAAAATAACATTTCCTTTGTTCATCAGTCACATCTCCAGGCCCTCTGATATTACTCTTGTTTTCTATTTTGAATTTCTATTCAAACAAAAAATAGAAGATTTACTGTTATGCAGACTACTGCAATATTGTAATAATTGTATAAATAATGTCAACCCATTCATGACTGCATATTAGAATGGCTACTTGGACATTTATTGGAAAATGACATCATTTGTTTACTTTTGAACATCAACAAAAATCAAACATTTCCTCTACTTTGAGCTCCATTTCAAGGTTCTTTTCATAGTAAAACCAATCAAAATCACCTCTATTTCTATAATATGTTTTCCATTCTACCAAATGAGACCAAGAAAACGAGAATACAACCATAAATACTAAACGAAAATAGACCACAAAGTCGGCTTTTTAATTAAAAAAATGGTCGGAGTTTTTTTTTCTCATTATGCACTGCGTGCTCCAGGATTTTTTTATATGGTGCACACTGACCACACAGACCCATTACCTCACATGTGGACCTACCAGCTTTCTCCTGCTTGATTTGAAGCCGCTAGAATTTATGAGTATATATACGTCAAACACGGTACCTCATAAAACGTATATATACGGCCAAAACAATCAAAGGGTTAATAAATACCAAACTGATAAAGATTAAAGTCCTAATTGATAAAGATCAAAGAATATGATGGTTTCTTTGACTATAGTAAATAGGATGTGTGTGTGTGTATAGCTGCAAACTTGATCAACTAGAAAAACTAAATTACATTGCAAGCAGAAACAATTTAACACATTAAATGATACCCTCTATATCTGTGACTGAAGAAGAGCTGGTACCGAGCAGCAAAATCATTTATTAGCCCTTTAACAGTGAGTCACATAAATTTATGCAAGAACCGAACTGTGTGCAATGTATGTACACCTACCATTCGACCTACGACCTGCTCAACATACGACCACTCAACTTACGACCATGTTTTGTATGCCAAATTTCTGGGAAATAAACAACTGTTTGTGTTGTACACAGTGTTTATCCTAAACCTTACAGTATAAAATACAGTACTAACAGCATAAAAAGTAAAGTAAAAAATGAAATACCGAAATAAAACAATAAAATAAAGTCATTACGGAAATGTGATGTTGATATTCAGTAGTAAGGTTCAACTTATGTCAGTTTTGACTTACAACTGGTTCATCAGAACCAAGCTTGGTCATAAATACAAAGGTTGAAGAAGCAGTAAAAGAATGGAAGAACAACTTAGATAACCAGTTCAGTGACTACTTTGCTCTCCAAGAAGATAAAACTGAACAAGATAAACTATCGGACGCAGTAATAGTTAACAGTCCACTTTTTCCCAGTGATATGAACCAAACAAACAGTAAAGAAATTACTCTGCAGATCATAAAGGACCAAACAAGTGTTATTGTACCTGAGTCTGAAATAAAAGAAGCCAGGTTACTAGGATCCCATGGTAGAAAAAGTGTTATGCTTAGATTCCACTCACATGACAGGAAAAAAGACTTAATTATGCATCTATTAAAGTAAAGAAAGAGGTATACATAAACAAGTGTCTTACCAAAAAACGTCAGAACTCCTGTATAGAGTAAGAAAACTTAACGGGAGAATAACGACACAATACACCAATGCTTCACACGGGATGGGAAAATTCTTGTTAGGAAAACAAATGTAGGTCAACTGTACACAATCACGAAGAGAATGATCTATCACGATTTCTCAGGGATACTAATCTTACAGAGAATAACTAAACAATGTCCAACTTAAAAGCCTACGTAGCGTAGTGTATGTTTTGCTCCATTATTGTTCAATTTCATTGTACAATCTCTTAGTAATTAAATAATCAAACTACCTCATTTTGTGATTTTACTAGTAAGCATAGTCACCTTATGTAATTTTCTTATTTACTATTGTTTGCTTTAAATTAGCTGAATTGATACTTTCTCTGTCCATATTACTACCTCATATTTTTTTAAATACTATCAATTGATATTACCTACTAAAATTAATAATTATCATTTTTACTATAATTTCAATTTACTCTTAACATTTTTGACATTTAATAACCATTACTTGTCTAATTACCTTTACCTGTTTTATACCACATTTACTATCTTAGAGTACTCTTAATTACCTTGTACTGCCATATAACCTCTAGTAAAACTACCAGTGCAATATTGAATGAAATAAACATTACTTTTTCACTTTTTTTGTAATCATTATTACTTAGTAAAATATTATTCAACACCATATTTACTACCAGTCAATTTTACTTTTGTACATTAAACATTATTTTATACTTCCCATAACATTTTGTTGCCAAATTTTCAAGTTTTCATATTCAAACTCCAACCTTATATTATCCTTTGTACCTGTCTACCATCTTACTATCATATTATAACAAGACATTACCATTATTCATTGTTCTTACCTGTTCCATTTAATTTTGTTTACCACTACTTGTTTTTTTAGTCACTTTTTATTGTGTGTGCAATTAGTGTATATTCCAATTACTTTTTTGCAAGTACCAATACTATCTTTTGCTAGCTAGTACCAACTTCCTCATTTTTTTTTACTTTTTATTGTGCAATAAACTGCTCAACTTATTTAATATTACAAATCAGATCTTACTCCTAAACCAATATTATTGGTTATTTCATAGTGACTATCTGTCCATTTAACTTGTTTACCATTACTCAATTGTAGTCCCTTATATATTTTTTGTCCTTTATTTTAGCTCTATGTAACTACCTTAGATCATATATTCGCAATTGTTAAACTAATCAAGGTGCTATTCTCAGGTGCTAAAGTTAATAAGTTCACTATTTTGCCATTATACTCCATAGCTCATTTATTTGATTACCACTTTATTGTTCACCACAACTTATATTAGTCCCTTTTATATTATAATTTTATATTATAATTCTAACTTTAAAGAATTACCTTTAAAGTACTACCTACTATCATATTCCCAAGCTCCATTATTTGATCATCACTTTATTTGTTCACCACAAATTTATTTTAGTCCTTTTATATTGTCTCCTTTATTTTAGCTTTAAAAAACTACCTTAGCTCATTATTTTTTTACATTTTTTAAATAATTTCAGGTGCTATTTTTTTTAGCTTTAGAATATTTACTTTATTTTTTACTTAATTCTAACTATAGATTCACTACAAATCTTATGATTACAAGCATTGATCCTGATACCAACCTCTTATTTAACGACTTAAATGATTCAAACAGTTTACTGTAATTACTACACAGCAGAAACATCAAAGGCACTTCTCAGAGCCAACAACAAACATAACTATCTTTAACTACAATATCAGATCTTTAAGCAAGCATTATGATGACCTCCTAGCATTACTAAATTCCTTGCATGCCAATATGTCCATTATTACACTAACTGAAACCTGGCTAAGCCTGATACTACAGATGTCTATGCCATTCCTGGTTACACAGCCATACACAACTGTAGGCCAGACCAACAAGGGGGTGGCACAGCTAATATACTACTCAGACCAACTAGAATGTATCACTAATACTTGCACAAGGGATGAACATGGGGAATATATAATAGCTAAATTCAAATCCAATACCTACAAAAACCTCTCACAGTGATAAACACTACAGAATTCCACAATCAAACATTAGCCAATTTAGTCAAAACCTAGGAAGTATGATAACTGATGCACGCATGAACCAAAGATCACTTACTACTCTCAGGTGACTTCAATATAAATCTCCTGCAAGACCAGGACCCACACATTACTGAATTCACAAACACAATGAGTAACTGCATGTTGCTACCAACAGTAACAAAACCTACAAGAGTTACAGAGACTAGCGTTTCCCTACTTGACCACATCTGGACCAACACCATATCCCCTTTAAAATCAGGCATAATTACAGATAATACCACAGACCACTACCCTACTTTCCTCATAACAACTCTTGGTAAAATACCCCAAGACACTACTAAAGTCACTTTCAGACTTCACAATGAGACAGCCATTAATAACTTCACAACAGCAGTACCAAACATTGACTGGCACACTGAGCTAGAAATCTATACAGATATTGACAAATGTTTTTAATAATTTTTCTAAAAAAGACCCAATACTTTATAACAAGCACTGCCCTAAAAAAACTAAACAGATGACAGCTAAGAGACT